CGGGCCCCCTACTTACTTATATACGAAAAATATATAATGTCTGGAGATTTTTGTATGATCGGAAATGCAAGAAAAGAAGGAGGGAAGAAGGAGGAGAAGGATGGGAAAGAGAGTGTTTATCCTGTACCCGACCGAGTTACATTTTCTCGCAATTCACATTGGCGGATCTGGGGGAGATCCCTGACCCCTCCCTTGGGCAACAAAAAAGGGGGAAAAGAAAAGAAATTCTAAACCTACCTTTTCAGGACCCGTGAGCTGATTTTTTTTTTTTTTTTTATTTTGGTTGCTATTAGAAAATTAGAATTTTGAAGAACATAAAATTCATTAAAACACACTTCAAATGTCGGGAAAGCTCAATTCCCGCCATCTAGAAATCAAAATTTTCTCGGGGGAGAACCCTTTCTTTTTGGGATTTATCGATTTATGGAAAAAAGAATACGCATTCAACTACTCATTTGTTTATGTATGTATACACACATAAAATAAAAAATGAGAAAAATTTACCTGACCTTTTTCAAGAGGGGAAAACCTTGAATTTTGTAGAACTATATAAGTCATTAAAAGACATTTCAGAAGTCGAAAAGCTCATCTCCCGCCATCTAGAAATCAAAATTTTTCCGGGGGAACCCGGACCCCCTTTATCTTTGGAGTTCATTGATTAATTGAATTATTTTCAAGGGGTGGGGGGACCTTGAATTTTGAAGAATTTAAAAGTCATTAAAAGACACCACAGAAGTCGGGAAAGCTCATTTCCCGCCACCTAGGAATCAAAATTTTCCTGGGGAAGAAACACAGGACCTCCCCCCACCTTCTTTTTGGGATTTATCGATTCATGGAAAAACTACGTATGCAACTTACTCAATCTTTTTTTATGTATGTATACACACATAAGGGCTATTTACTGTATTAACAATGGGAAAAAATTATCTGACCGTTTTCAAGAGTGGAAAACCTTGAATTTTGAAGAACTTAATTACTTTCAAGTTCTTCAAAATTCAAGGTGCTCCCCTCTTGAAAATTATTATAATGAATCAATGAACCCAGATAAAGGGAGGTTCGAGTTCTTTACGGGAAAATGTTGATTTCTAAATGGTGAACAATGAGATTTCCCGACTTCTGAAGTATTTTTTAATGACTTTAATTTAAAAGACACCTCAGAAGTCGGGAAAACTCATTTCTCGCCTTCTAGGAATTAAAATTTTCCTGGGGAAGAACCTCCGGACCCCCCTTTCTTTTTGGGATTCATTGATTCATGGAAAATTCGTATGCAACTACTCATTTTTTTAAAATTGTTATGTATGTATACACACATAAGCCCTATTTACTGTAATAACAATGGGAAAAAATTACCTGACCGTTTTCAAGATGGGAAAACCTTGAATTTTGAAGAACTTAAAAGTAATTAAAGACACGTCAGAAGTCGGGAAAGCTCATTTCCCGCCATCTAGAAATCGAAATTTTCCCGGGGGAGGAATGTTGAAAAAGAGAAGAGAAAAATAAATACAAGAATAAAAAGGAAGATATAATGACCAGATATCACAATACCCCTGCAACCCCTTCTCCACTTCAAAAAGTGTCCATAGCGCATTTGATCTAAGCCGCCAGATATTCTCCGCAGTGGCGTAAGCACCGGTGGACAAGGGGAAAATATCCATCTGTGGAAAATCTTTTATCATTGAATGCCCTTTTCACCCGGGAAAGTGCATGAAAACCTCTAATGTTAAATTGCATATTTTGTTGAGGTAGGCAAATTTCCTCTAAAAATTGCACATTTAGGGAGTTTTGATCAATTCCGACGAAATTGAAATTAAAAACACAAAAATTTTTCGCATTTGTTGGGGTTAAAGCTTATGCTTGCCCTCCTTATTCTAAGTTATTTAAAAACATAATAGTCTCCAACTTGAGAAAGAAAATTTAAGATAGATCGTTTTACCTAATAGAAGTGCCTTAATGTGTAATGATGGTGAAAGAATAGGCCTATGCTTGTATTAAATAAAACCACGATGAAAATGCTTATATCTAGTTTCAAACACACGTGTGTG